TATTGCAGTATGTAGTTAAAGCAACACGTAAATACTAAAAGATTATGATTTAAATATGTGTTTGCCTATCGGAGTGAACATGCTCCTAATGGACAAATACTCATACATACTCATAATGATAAGGACCTGGGAAGTTTTCTAATTAATAAAATGTTAGCTCACGTCCTCCCCGAGTAGGTACCGGCAGATGTTTCTACACTAGAGAGGTTATTTAAATAGGTAATTATTACAAACTGTATATCGTACAAAATATTAATCCTCCTTAAAAACATTTTTCTCTCTATACATTAGATACTTTTGGTGTCTGTTGGCGTTTATGAATAAAAGAATGCTCAAAGTTGGAATCTTTGAAATCTCGCTTTAAATTGTAAAGTATATGAGTGACCTGAATTCGCAGTACTCATATGCCGGAAATACTTAAATTGTTAATCGCGTTTTTGCTACGTACTTTGCGCTGAAGAAAAACATCATATTAAATCAACCCATACCGGGATAGGGCGAACTCATTTGTCCTCCAAAACCCTCTTAGTAGTTAGAGATGTTCCCAGCTGATACATAGATCGTTAACTTTACTTTTAAATAGATAAGCTATGATAGGTAACCTTGGAAGAATGCCACAACATACTCAGCTCTATCCAGACATACACCGCCGACACGTCTTAATAATCCAGAATAAAACGCGACCCACTTTCCTTAAATAAGTCATACAACTCAATGTCTAGTTCAAGTCAAACAGAACAATAAAACAGGTCTGACCGAGATATCGTTCAAAACCGCTATAAATACAGCAGTACGATGGCGCAAACCCTTTCATATATTTCAGATATTTAACGATGAAATAATATTTATTGCTATACTATATAGATTATCTAAAGTGGAATATTTTTGACTGCATTTTTGCCTGTCCAAGAAGGAAGCTATCTAACCATTGCAGGTATATTTTTGTGTGTAATATACACGTATTAGCCTGATCCTTTGAGTCCGACAGATTTCGACTTTTTTTATAGGATAGGGTTACAAACAAGCTGTGTTCACCTGATGGTAAGTGGTTGCTGTGGCCCATAGACATCTACATCTACACTCGTTTGCGAATTAAAATGCAGATGTGTTGTCACCCGTGAGGACTAAGATGGAATGCCTCTTTTCCAGTAAAAAAGATCTCCGGTTCTCTACACTCACCATACGAAACACAGCAACGTTAAGCTGCTATTTTACGCTGGTATTCTGTGAGAGCGAGGTCCTTCCCCGGTCGAGTCGACCCATTCGTGCTACAACTATAGTACTAATATAGCTGCAGCAAGGCTCTACCACGTATAAACACGGTGTGTAGTAGGATAAAATTTATAATAATACCAATACGTCGCCCTTTGTAAAACCTGATATGGTGCTAGTTTAAGGCATACACATACGGCATATGTCCCGGTATACGAGTATAGGAACGTGACCCAGTTTGGAGCGTTACGTCCCAGTATTCAGCTTAGTAAAACGGTTGTTCCGGTTCATACATTATAGGTGTTAGTAGTATGTTTCAAAAACGCTATATGCGGTTAGCGCGCTATAGATTATAGATTATAAAATATATTTAGGTATATATTGATATCGTTCGAATGTAATATACGCTACATTACAACAATAGGAGGGTAGCCAATTAATTAAAGCGCGAAACAGGCAATGAAAACTAGTACTGCTAGCGATGACATCAAAGTCAAAGACAAAATTAATTATTTTGTCTTTGCTGAACATAGGCCTTCCCCATAGATTGCCTCATAGGGGTATATTTGCCACACCATTTGGCAGCCGCAGTTCTTTATTTTTAGTCGTTATTAGGAAGATGCTGCTGCCCATCTCCTGATTTCTTTTCCTCTGTCACCTCTTACGACACCCACGGGATGGAATTCGATTTATAGAGTATAAATATGTACTATTAATATCATGCCCCGCGGGGAAATTTCGTTCAAGTTACAAAGTCTAAATAACAAGAGATACCGCGTAATTAGGGGTTCAGCGGAAGGAAATGGAAATTTTCGTCTTACTGAAGATTATGACTTAACGAGGTTCGAGTTATTGTGATTCCACTGGTGTTATACATGTATCCAATAATGAGTCACTAGTGTCATGGAATCGGACTGTAGAACAGTAAGTTTAGATTAATTACCTGTGTCAAAATTATCTGCATCATTCATATTGTCAACGGTATTCAAATAGTTCCTTGCATAAATAATTTTGTCCCAAATGAATTGTGATGCAACAGTTAGGATGTTTATTTTTTTATAAAAGTTTCTGAGTTAACCTCTAGATTTAATGTTGTAAATAGAACGTAGAATAAGTATATTTTTTAAATGATTAAATACTCATTACATTACTACAGTAAATAGAGTCTGTAATTAAATAAGCGCTTGCAGAAAAACTTTTTTTATTATCTTTATATATAAAAATTACGTGTCACGTTGTTTGTCCGCGTTGGACTCCTAAACTACTGAACTGATTTCAATGAAATTTTGCACACTGTGTGCAGTTTGGTCCAACTTTGAGAGATAGGATAGTTTTTATTCCGCTAAATGACCCTCAAAATTTTTTATTGCGAATTTAAGGATTTTTTATAGGAAGGGTACATCAACGTCTGCCTGGCGAGCTAGTATATATATATATATACTAGCTCGCATATATATATATAATAAAAATTTAGTTCAAGTACCTATCGGCGTGTAACTAAATAGTTTGTTTCCAACTACCCGACTAATTAAATTTCAATAATAAAAAAGTATTTTATTATTTTTTAAATAAATAGTTGAAAAAGCTTATTACATTAACTTATTATATATTTAATTATTTGCTGTTATCTAAATCCACTCTTTAACATAGTCCTCCCCATTGAATTGACTCATAGAGTCGATATTTGCCATAGTTGTCACGCCTGTCAGGCTTGTCAGGCTGGTTGGTAACAGCAGGATTTTATTAGTTTGAATTATTATAAGACATCTACCGTTTTTATTTCTCTCTGTCCCTAGCAGACAGTTTTAATTTTCCGCTCGCGTCTCGACCCGCACGATTGCCCCGTCTAGACAGACAGACGCCTTCGTGATCTACTGTTACCTTAGAACATACACTTTCATACTCGCAAGTATTTTTGCTCGTACCAGGGCGCCATACTTTGAAGTGAAAACATGGTAGCGTAAATACGTCTCATCTATAGCTGTTAGTAGTAGTTAGACTGTGCTACTACATACATACATACTAGTGATGTGTCCCTCACTCATGAGTCCTCATTTGAGGTCTTCGTGACGGCAAATCGAAAGAGTTACTCGAATTTTGTAACACGAAAATTTTCGTGTACATTATTTTAGCATATTTACGTTATTACATGCAATGAACAGACTTCAGAGCGCCATCTAACGTCATTAGTCCGAAGTAACTAGAAACGTATATTGACGAATCGAGCTAGCTAATTGCATGCAATTGACCTTTCGTGTTAGTTCGAAATCCTACCACGGATCGACGGTGGCGTGTAGCCCAAGGGAGGCCTAGTTTTTTTTGGAGCAAGCCGTTGTAATGATCGGACACGCACTTATATAATTTTTGAATCGAAACGCCGGAACATGAATTTAAAGTGACGACTACTTGGGCGTACGGCCCCTTAAACACAATGTCTACGGGCAGTTTAATGTGTTGAAACACATCATCCCATAAATTGTAAGTACTTAATGTTTTTGTCTTCTTAAAAGCACATGTGCTCTAATTAACGGTACACGGTGTTTCATATATTCTTTTGCCTTGTCATAGGGGTCCTTAGTCCTTAGTCCTTAGTTCTTAGTCCTTAGTCCTTAGTCCGTACTTTGAGTATGGTCCATTATCAAGTTTAACAATGAGAACGAGGCGAGGCAGCTTCAACGGGTGGCTATATTGGGAATGGGCGGCCAGGAGACCGCGACCGGCGTACACCTGGAGGATATCTGTTGCCTCACTGCTTCGCGGGATTGACCATAAACAGTGTAATATTGTGTAATCCACCAGGTTAGTCAAAACCTCAGTTCGTAGGGTATTTTAAAGTGAAAACTTGATATTTGGAGCTATACATGTGAACCGTAGAAGGAAATAAACTACTTTTTGTCTGTATGTGTAGTGTGTACGAATTTTCATTTACTAATCATCCAACAACAGGCGCCCTGGAATACTTTTATTTTGATCCTCGAGTCCCTTGACTCTCCGATAACCGTAGCCGGTGAGTAACGCCCTAAAAAGTGTTATAATTTTAACATTAAAACACTTCACTCACTCGTTCACGACCTGATACATACGAGTACTATCATATAGCGTGGCGACGCGTCGCCACGCCGACAGGCGGTCTGACCCGCCGTTATAGGTGTTTCACATCAGTAAACAGCACCTCATCGCTCATGAACTTATGACTTTACCGTTTAGTAGCGGCGTAAGATTATACACTAACCCATATCATCTCGTGGGTGTCGTAAGAGACGACAGGGTAAAAATTGAGCAGAGTCTTCCTAACAACGACTAAAAATGTTTATTTTATAGAATAAGAGTGACAAATGAGCACACAATCCACCTGATGTTAAGTGGTTGCTGTGGCCCATAGACATCTACATCTATCTTCGTTTGCAAATTAAAATGCAGATGCGTTGTCAGCCGTGAGGACTAAGATGCCTCTTTTCCAGTAAAGAGGGTATCCGGTTCTCTACACTCACCATACAAAACACAGCAACATTAAGCTGCTATTTTACGCTGGTATTCTGTGACAGCGTGATCCTTCCCCGGTCAAGCCGACCCATTCATGCTACAACTATACTATTAATATAGCTGCGGCATGGCTCTACCACGTATAAAAAAGTCACGTTGACAACCCGCTTGCTAATAAATCAAATATCCCCCTATAAGGCAATCTATGGAGGAGACCTATGTTCAGCAATGGACTTTAATAGGTTGTAACGGTAACAGTAAACGCGTTTTATCCCTATCCAAAATCACAATCTAAAAATACTTACGTTCCAACCAATGGCTTCAACATAAAAGTCTATTTTCTCGGGGTCCTCCGGCTCGGAATCTGTGTCCAATAGCGTTTCATTGCCACTGTCAGAATCATGACCCGGATTTCTTTCTCCCTGTAAATCTGCCACGTCCTTCTGTTCTCCATCCTGTTCCTCTGGCTCCTTTAAAGGAGCTAGTGGAGTTGATTCTTCAAGAGCAGCACGTTGTGAGACTTGTTTTAATAAGGACCCAAATTTCTCAAAGAAACTGTCATCCACCTCTTGTATTCTGTAAATAATTTATTTATTTATTTAGAAAACCAACAGCGTATATAGAAAATATTAACATTAATGTAACAAACTAAAAGTATGGCCAATAACAGGTTTCCCTTATATTGTTTGATGGTAGGTGTATTGTTGTTAGAAGAAAAGGAAAAAGAACAATCTAATAGATAAATTATAAGCAAAATTATAAGCAATTCAATGTAATGAAGGTGGTCATAAGTTTACAGATCAGGAGAGATAGTCAGGTAGAATGATATATTAGATTACCTTTATATATATATATATAAATATATATATATATATATATATATAAACATATAAGATATATATATATATATATATATATATATATATATATATATATACATACATATATATTTACTTATGTATATATACATATTAATTGTTTAAATATATAAACATAATACAAATAATTAATTATAATATATATTAAATAAAATAACTTAAGTACTTATATTTATATTAGTAGCCTCAAAAATACATATAGAAGAAATAGATGAGAGAATATATGAATGTATGTGAATTTAACTTCAACTGCTCTATTTCGTAATAGTTTTCTTGATGTAATCTTTAAACGTAAGTTTAGATTTCGCAAAGAGGTCAATGTGTCCAAATTGTTCATTATATGTACGAGCAAGCCGCGAAAGAACAGTGTTTCGACAGTAGTTTGAATGATGCCAGGGAGTCTGTAACAATGTAGTATTGCGGGTACGGAATTTTGGAGTACGAAAGGTGATTCTTGAGACAAGATATGGACAGTCAATATTACTGTTTATTATATCATATAACAAAGCCATATCAAGCAAAATGCGCCTGTGTTCCAGAGATAAGAGATCGTGCTCAGTGCAACTGTCTGTGTAAGTATCGATTTTATTCCGACAGCGAAAGTTAAGGTGATTAACAAATATTTTTTGAATACGCTCAAGGCGGCTTTTGTAGACATTGTACTGTGGAGACCATATTGAACTAGCATATTCCAAAACACTTCTGACATATGCAAAATAAACCATTTTAATTGTATTAATATTCGAAAATGGTTTACAGATGCGAAGAACAAAACCAAGATTTTTATAGGCTTTACTGATAACGTAATCAATGTGTTCGGATAGTATCATTTTATGATCAAAAATTACGCCTAAATCCCTAACACTTACTTTTCGGCTGATTTCTAATCCGTCAAAGTGATATTTATTTAGAATTGGCTTAGATTTCCGTGTAAAACTAATACATTCGCACTTGCTTGCATTGACAGTTATATTATTTATTTTGTAATATTCAAATAAACGGTCCAGGTCTTTTTGTATCAATAGGCAGTCATGTATGGTGTTAATTTTACAAAAAATCTTCTTATCATCTGCATACATGAGGTAATTTGTGTGTATAATGCACGAACCGATGTCATATAGGTAGGCATTGTAAAAAAGTGGACCTAAGTGAGAGCCCTGAGGAACACCTGTAGGTATGTTTATGTAGCTCGAACGGAAGCCACCTATCACGACTGCTTGTGAGCGGTTTGTGAGATATGATTCAATCCATCGGAGCAAGTCACCGTGAATCCCTAATATTTGTAATTTGTTGAGCAGGATCATGTGATCCACACGATCGAAAGCTTTTTCAAAATCAGTGTAGATCACATCAACCTGCCCACCTTGATCCATATTTTCAAGGACAAAAGAAGAAAAACTTGCCAGGTTCGTAGTGGTGGATCGCCTTTGTAAAAAACCATGTTGCTGCTCAGGGAAGGCACGTGAAAGCGTGGAGTAAATTACGTTATATACTACTCGTTCAAGGATTTTAGCCGCGGTGTTCAAAATAGAAATGCCTCTATAATTATTTATTTCTGTACGTGATCCCTTCTTGTGTACAGGGATTATGTGTGCACACTTCCATTGATGCGGAAATATCCCTTCACGTAGAGAGCGATTAAATATAATAGTCAAGGGGAGAGCAAGTGATTTAGCGCATCGTGACCAAAAAAAAGAAGGTAACCCATCACTACCGGCACCTTTGTTCGTGTCCAAAGTTTTCAACATTTTTTCAATTATTGCAGCGTTTGTCTGTACATTAGAAACGGTGTCAGTATACAACGATTCCGTATGTGGATATATGTAGTTATTACTAGGAATACCAAATACACTCTTGAAGAATGAGTTGAAAGCATTGCATATGTCTATACCATCGGTGTACTCTATATCTTTCAAAGACATTTTCTTAGGGTAACCTGACCCACCCCGAATGGCTTTGACGAAAGTCCAGAATATTTTAGGATGTGTTTTGATGCTATTTTCACAACTTGACGTAAATTTATTAAAGCATTCTCTCTGAACACGGTGTTCTCTTGCTCGGAGTAACGAAAACTCATCGTAATCTAATCTATTCCTGAATTTTTTCCAACGTGTGTGAGCATTGTTTTTCTCCTTAATTATTTTTATTAAAGCAGGTGTGTACCATTTAGGATATGATCGCTTCCCTGTGTTATAACTAAAGGGCACATGTAAACGAACACAACTATCCAGTATGTTATAAAAGGTATTTGTAGCTTCGTCTACAGTGCCTGTACATAAAAGAGACCTCCAGTCCTGTTCTAAAAGATATGTATTAATTTTTTCATAATCAGCCCTCCTGAAATTTCGCCTCGGCGCAGCTGTTTCCCGTAGAGGAGTAATGTTTAAATCCAAAACTATGAAGCAAAAAAAAATATTGTGTCAAACTCAGTATGTAGATACAACATATTTTTACATATTATTGTGCGTTTTAACACAGAATAAATAATAGGTTTTACCACAAATAAATAATAATACAAGAGGTTTTACCACGTTTTTATTAAGTCACTTTCTTGTTTGTCTTTCTGTCGTTCCGGGTGGAATTTAATAATTGACTTTAAACTAACTTCCCGATGAGCTGGAAACTTGAAAGTTTTAATATAGCTCAAATTCTGATGACAATGCAAGAATCTGATAAAAAACTGATGTGATAAATTCACTTGTTTAGTCGTGTAATGGTGGCATAAGAGAATCCACTGTATCATCCCGTTCACGTCGTAAGAGGCGACTGAGGGAAATGAAAAAGGAGATGGACAGGATCATCTTCTTGATAACAAAACAACTTGGACTAAAAAGGACCCGTTTGCCAATTCGCCAGCCAAACGTAGCAACTATGGAAAATATCCCGCCCATGAGGAAATCTATGGCGAAGGCTTACTTCATTATGACTTTTTTTATACTTAGCTCAGCACAACTGAATAGCTTAGTGTTGTATCACTTATCCACTCGGGTTCGGGGTGGGAATCGTTTTCCGATCGTAATTATCCCACAACTGCGTGATGCTTTTGATTACATGGTAGTAATTTTAGGGTTCTGCTGTTAAACAATGCAGCCTTTTAAATTGGTCTCTTAATCTATCCAAGGATTATAATATTTCATCGACAATTTTGAATGAATGAAAAGGAAACATACTTTATTGTACACCAGAAAAAAACATGAGAAAAAAAAACAGCAAATTATTTAAAGGTTTCAGATATCACAGAAAACCAACGTAAAATACTTAGCAGCTTTACGCTGCTGTTTCGTATGGTGACTGTAGAGAACCGGAGACCCTTTTTACTGGAGGCATTCCATCTTAGTCCTCACGGGTGACAACGCATCTGCATTTTGATTTTTAATAGAGGATAGATGTAGATGTCTATGGGCCGCAGCAACCACTTACCATCAGGTGGACTGTGTGCTCGTTTGTCACCCTTATCCTGTAAAAAAGGTACAATTGGAACCGTAGCACAGTGGCTTAGGAATTGAGTTGCAGCGCTAAGGGCCGCGGCTTCGAATCACGCACGCACAAGTATTTGTATGGCCTACAAATAGTTGTTCCAGGTCTGGATGTCTGTCCTTGTGCAATTTATGTTTGTAAACTGCCCCCACGATACAGGAGAAAATCCGAGTGTGGAGGATAGGTTTTTTTTTTAAATATAAAGAAACAGCCTTATCGCTTATATTGGTTGAATGGTCTAAGCTTAGAAGCGATATCTACCAGGCAACCATATTGCAGAGGATACTTATAATCACTTGTGAGAAAGGGTAAGGGTGTACGTAAGTTGTTATAATATATACACGAGATAAATATAATTGTATACTTGATAAATACATACATAATAATTTAATAAATAAATGAATTTGTTTATACAATATGGGTTTTGTTTTTAAAGATAACAAAACATTAGAATTATATTGTTTTTACTAGCTGTGCCCGCGGCGTAGCTCGCGTATATAGATTTTACATAAAGAATTTGTCGTTTAGGTAAGAGAATATTAAACGATTTATATCATTACTGTATCAATAAGTGGTAACAAATAAATCATTATCATCAAAGTTCTAAGTAGTTTATGATAGAGCTTCGGTGTAAACGACGTTAGAAGTAGACTTAGACGGGGTGTACACAAAAAAGGTTACGGGGGCTACTAACGCGGGAAAAAGCAACATAGAGTTGGCCATGTGCAAAACAGTCAGTACTGAGGTCCACTCCTGCAACGCGTAAATTTTGACCTTGCGCTATATTTACGGTCATCGCATAACACACGCTGACTGTAACTGGGAACTGAACGCGCTTAAAACTGAAAGGAAAGTTACTTCTTAATAGAGGGTTTTTTGGCAGTGCTGCCAGATCAAAAAAACTCATTCAGCGCTAGGACAACACAAAAAGCGCTAGATTTCATGAAAACAGCGCTTTAAAAAAGCCCTAGATTTCGCGCTAAATTAACTACAAACAAAGTTTGTGTTTTTTATTATAATTTATAATTCAAGAAAATATAATCATAATAAAGAAAACAACATTAAGTTTTTTTCTGGCAATATTTTTTGATGTATCAATACTTCGCAGGACATCGACTTATAATTATGGCAATTGCTGTCAACAGTAGTTAGTACTACTCTAAGTAACTTTTAACTTAGCTGTGCTCTAAACAACTGACTAAAACTGAATAAAACAAAATAAATGCGTTGCCAAAACCATGAACGAAAACTTTAATGAAGGGGATTTCCCCGCTTATAGTCGTCGATAAAAAAAATCAAGTTGATCATCCTAAAGGGGAAGCCGGGAGATCCATAGCACAGGGTATCCTAGTTTGGACTCGTTTCCCATGGTCTTTGTTTTGTGGAAAAATATGTTTGAAAAAGATAAACTGCAATGTACTATTTGTGGAAAAAAATAATAAAGGTCATTATTATTATTATTATCGGTAATGTGGACTAACAGTGCTGCTATAAAAGAGTTGATAACCCGCTAGTCGCTACAATTTTGAAATGTGTGCTAAATACACCAAAAAGCGCTGGATTAAGTGCTAGGTGCTAAAATTTCGAAATGCACGCTATACATTCCAAAAAAGCGCTAAATCTAGTTCCCAAAGCGCTAAAATGGCAGTACTGATTTTGCGTATATTATAAATATACAATATCACGACATTTCGTTGCAATTTTGTTATTTTTGTTCGGGTTCCGTTGTATGGCTTCGATAGATACAAATTTCTTCAGTAAGTCTCAATACGATTCATCGGAGAAAAATCTCAACACAGCAAATCAGAAAAGTTTGTAATTTGTACAACTCCATCTATTACGTCCTTTGTGTGAGAAAACATCCTTTTTTAAATCTCTTTTTATGTTTTAAGTATAAATATATTAATTATTATGGAACGTTTTTTTTACACACAAATCTTTTTATTACTGTTTCTGAGATTTTTATGGCGCCATTGAACGAATTCGAACCTACATTTTAAAATAATAATCATTACTTTCGATAGAATTAACCAATTTTAATAAAATAAAGATTAAATGTAACTTGAAGATACGCTTTATGATTTTCTTAACGATTTCTTTGAAAAAAACAGATGTTTACTTTAGACGTGATGCCTTCATATAAAAACAGACAAACAGACAAACAGATAATTCTAAAAATTATAAAAATGTACTTATTTAATTATTTTTAGTTCCCCATAATGATTTTAGTCACCAAAATATATATACAATGTACAGAAAGAGACACAACATGTTATCATCATTTTTATTATAAGTATATATTTAATTAAAGAGAGATGGCGCTGCTAACATCAACTTGATGACTCAAACATAGCCACCGTTGAGCAAATTCCCTACCCATACTTCAGAATATTTATCATAACTTTTGATGGAATGAACCGATTTTAATGAAATAAAGACTAAATGTAACCCGAAGGTACACTTTAGAATTTCCTTAACAATTCTTATGATATAAATTAGTACTTTAAACGTGATACGTTAACAAACAAACAGACAGACAGACAGAAAGACAGACAGACAGAAAATTCTAAAAATGGTAGAAATGTATTTAATTACTTATTTTTAGTACCCCTCAATCACTTTTATTACAAAATTATAAAATGTACAGACATCTGCTATTTACAGTTTTATTATATGTATAGATATAGATATACCTACTTCCTCTGCATGTAAACAGGGTTGTAACTTGTAACTTTCCATATCAAGTAAGGTAAACAAATTTTAGTTAGCAATTTAGCATTGTATTCAAAATATCGAAAGGTTTAAAATATTACATTTACAAAAGCAGACTGTGATAGGCTTACTGAATAAAAAATGCTTTTAGGCATTCTCCTGGGTTTAGTTATTACTAGCGTCCCACACCGACTTCGCCTGGGTAGGATTTATTTAATACGGCGTTATTTAAATTTACGACAATCATCAAAGACTAATTCATCTATCAATTTCTCAAATAATCGACAAGTTTTTCGGACAATATATAGCCTAGATCACTCGTCGCTTTGCTCATTATTAGTTCGTCAAGTTTCGATTCAATAGGTTTAGCCTTTCCAAAGATTAGTCCGGACAGATAAAACGAAATTTTAAAATAGTTATTCATGTCTTATTGACTTTCAAATAACCCCCTCAGCTCAATATAAAGCATTCTTTATTAAGATTAAACATAATACAAGTAGTGCCAACATATTTAGTATACATAATATACATTATAAGTTTTAGTGAAAATAAAAGCCAATTTAAATTTAAAAGTTAAGTATTATAAAGTTTGTAAAAAAGGGTGAAGAATAAGTTATACATAATTTTGCTATTTTTCTCAAATAGGATTTATTATAGATAACAATAATTCTTAGATATGCTATATGAATAATAATTTATGAAAAAGTTAAAACCGTTGTGAAACATTTTAATTTTCCATTCCTAAATCAAGTCAGTATAGTCCAAGGAAAGGGTTTTGTTAATTAATAACAAGCTTTTGCATCTTTACTGGTATTATATTTTTAGCTAAAAAGAAATTAACAATTTCCTAATAATAAACATTATGAAAGTAATCGGTTTTATTAAAACCACATACAGCCCCTTATTACAGCCAAATACATACAGCACCTTACACCAATTTGGCAAAACTTTTTATTTAAATGCACAGTATTATCCTGTAGATTGCAATAATATACATTAATTACAAGTATAAAGTTCAACTCTTATAATCATCACATTTTCTTGGAAGACTGGAATGACACTATTAAAGATTCATTATTAAAGTTATATTGATATAAAGTAATATATAATTGATTTCAAACTTCTTTCTAATAAAATAATATTATATAACACAATAGCACGAAATACTATTCAACAGAATCTTGTCTCATTTTTATTCCAAAATGTTTTGCTTGTTAAACAGCTTATTTTTAAAAAATAAACCAATTTACAGGCAATATACCACCGTTATAATCAATATAAAAGCTAAAATATTTTAACATACAATATGGCACATTAAGGTTTAAATAAATAAATTAGAACATATTTTTCAAAAACATTTTTTCTTTATTAACCTGTAAATGCCCATAGCTGGACATGGACATCTCCCACTAAAGGGATGATTGCCTAAAGTTAATTTAATAATATAAATTTACACAATATAATAAAATAATAATTATGCCTTAAACCACTAATATTACTTTCAGAAAAATAGAGCACTGTACTGTAATGAAACTCATAAAATAACATTTACATTATTTTATGTATTGAGAGATGTACATTACTATTTCTAATGTAAATACTTAACAAACTTAACATAGTATTGGTATATATAACCATACCATCTATTTGTCCAAACCAGAAAATAGAGTGTACTTAATATCAGTATATTCTTCAACACCATGTTTACTACCCTCCCTTCCTATGCCAGATTCTTTGATTCCTCCAAATGGTGGTTCTGCAGCTGAGAGAATGCCATCGTTTATGGCAACCATTCCAAACTCAAGTTTACGAGACATTCTAAAGGCCTGTCCTAGGTCTCTAGTAAATACATATGATGCCAGCCCACTTCTTGTGCCGTTGGCCACTTCAAGGACTTCTTCTTCCGTTTTAAATTTAAGACACACAGCAACAGGTCCAAATATCTCTTCTTTATATATAGTCATATCTGGCTTCACATCAACTAACAAAGTAGATTCATAGAATTTACTGCCAAGATTTGTAGCAAATTTACCACCAACTAATGGCTTTGCACCTTTCTGAACTGCTTCATCAACTAGACTTGATACTTTTTTAGCTTGCATTTCATTTACTAGAGGTCCACAAGTGACACCTGGTTTTATGCCCGGACCTAACACACATTTCTGCTTGATACGATTTTTAAAGCCATCAACAAATTTGTCATAAACATCTTCATGAATCAAAAACCTATTTGCTCCAATACAAGCTTGACCATTATTTCTAAATTTAGCTAACATTGCCTGGTCTAAAGCATTCTCAATATCAGCACTTGCAAACACTATAAAAGGGGCATTTCCACCTAATTCTAATGATACTCTCTTCACTCCTTTTGCTGCCATACCATATAGAATTTTTCCAACATGTGTAGACCCGGTGAAAGAAATGCATCCAATGTTGGGATCTTCACACAATATTTTGCCAACATTTGGTGCATTTTTTCTACTAGATGTTATGACATTAATAACGCCTTTTGGCACTCCAGCTTGTTGGGCAAGTTCAACAGCAGCTAAAGCTGCTAATGGGGTATCTTCAGATGGTTTAATCACACAAGTACATCCTGCTGCCATTAAAGCTCCCACTTTCCGTGTTATCATGGCAAAAGGGAAGTTCCATGGTGTTATTACAGATACAACTCCAATAGGATGTCTTGTAACTATCACCTGCTTATTGGGCCATGGACTACATAGCACTTCACCATTTACATGTCGTGCAGCATCAGCAAACCATTCCAAAAATGAATTACCATACGCGACCTCTCCTTTTGATTCTGAAAGGGGTTTTCCCGACTCCGCCGTTATGATTTCTGCTAAGCTATCAGTGTTGTTTTGACATAAATCAAACCATTTTCGCAGTATAAAGGACCGTTCCTTCGCCGTGGTTTCTCTCCAAGTTTTAAAAGCCTTAGATGCGGCTTCAATTGCTTTCTGAGCATCAGAAGCATCCATATCAGGAACTTCTGCTATAATACAATCATCTGCTGGATTAGTCACAGGAAAAACATCATTACTATTCGCTTTCAACCACTGGCCATCGATATAGGCCTGATTCCTGAGCAGATGCATGTTTCTGAATATAACTGAATAAGAATTACAAAACCGTTTAGCACTTACACTTAAAATAACCATTTTTTTATTAACCTCGTACTGTTAAATAGATAATTATAGTGGTATCACAATGTTTACGTAACACAGTGTCGTATCGATAAGATATGTATGAGTTTATAACAATAGTCCACTGAACAAAAACTTTATACGATAAATTAAACAGTCTCAATCATCTCAATTTAGTAATTTATTTACTGTAAGAGCGAAACGGAACTCTATTACAGACTTCTCCATTGACAACTGACATATAGCATAATATACTGACACTGTTGTTGTTTTTATTATTCGCTCGAGAGAGCAGGCAAAGGAACTATGCCATACAGCCTTGTCTTCATGTGTAATTATCCTTCATAGTTCACTGCTTCACAATATGTTGATGCGTCACATTGTGCAGCCCTTGGGAGATTTTGACGGCAACTTGAGCCAGCAGGCAGCTGACAGTTGGCGATGGTGTCTAAAGGCGCCTATGCAAACAAACAGCTTATCTTGAGAATCCATCACCATTAGAGCACTTGTTTCACAGTTTCCACTAATAGTTCACATGCGCAGACACTTAATACACAAAATCGCACCACTTTTATATATCAAAGTCCACTTCAAACCATTATTTAAACAATAATACAGGAGCAGCAAGCCGCCGCCGATCAAATTCCCGCCAAACCTTATACTGACACTGACAGTGACAAGACAAAGACTATATTGTACATCCGACACTGAATCTTTTTATTATTTAAAGGCGAAAGAGGAACATTACCCATACAGCCTAGTCTAACGTGTATATTAATATGTCGGTGTAAAACTGCGAAGTTTATTGGGAGATTTTGACGACAGCTTAACGGGGAATTCACTTGACGGACATGCAGCCGGGCTTGCATATCCGGGCATGTCTGTCGCCGCAATACACTATACAGACTCATCAGTCTGTTTTAAGTTTGTGCAAAATGGGATCGCGCGGACGTTCAACAGGCAAGTCTGCCAAACCGACTGTGACGGTCTTACACTACCAAACTTTGCACAGACCTATAGTAGCGAAATCCGGCAGGTATGTACAGACATACCCGCGGGCATGTCCGTCAAGTGAATTCCCCGCTTAAACCAGCAGACAATCGATGAGTTTGTTAGGATGGTATCTTAAAATGACAAAGCGGAAGCAAGAACTTGAGGTTTTAATCACCATCGAAGCACCTATTTCATTTCGACATGCGCAGACATTTATTATCAAAATCGTGCCACTTTGAAACAGACTTCAAACAAAAATGTTTTGAATTCAATTGAATGTTTTAGTATGGTTTTTTTTGCGATATCTTCGTCAATATCATCACGGCATCCACGACTTTTCTGTTACCAGGGCGGTACTACTTAGGAATGAGGTGAAATATTTGACAGATTACATTGCGGGGAAGTTAATGTGTTAGTAAATGTAAAGGTTAATGATTATTTCTATAATATTAGTTATATTTTATATTAATTAGATTATAAATGAATAAAGTAATTTACTGATATTCCTCAAAGTCAAAACATTCTCAATTATATGACTTTATGTAACAAAACTTCACTGCAGTCCTAAATAGTGACATCTGGTGAACGGAAGATTATTAGCCCTCATTCCAAACCGATTTTAAGTATTTTTATCAAAATGATTAATACTTTGGGGGTAGTGATATAAATCGGAGAAAAAATTCCACCTTTAAGGATGGGAAAAATATAGAATGAAGTGTTTAATGCAACTGCTTAGACAAAATTGTCGTAGTCTTGACCTTGAGCTTGTGATATTCTTAAGTTCAGCCAAAAGTGATAAAACATTAAACTTTTAATAAAAATTTAACCCAACCTCAAAGTGCTATAACGATGAATAAAACAATTTCCACATAACAACTTCGGATTCTAGCCTTTAATTCTTTTATATTCTCAGATACACTACGTCTTATCAAAAGCTAATACGTGAAAATCATTTTATCTACCGACTTCAAAAAGTAGACGGTACTCAATTCGACTGCGTTTTTTTATTTTTTTAACTGTGTTACCTCATAACTTTTTTCTGTGTGAACCGATTTCAATGATTCTTTTTTCGCTGAAAGCTTATGCTTCTCATGTAGTCCCATATAAATTTCTTGTTTTTACATCTTTTAAGTGCTAGTTTTCTCGTGATAGTTTTTATTGATTTTTTTATAAACAAGTGATATGAAAAGCTTATGAACAACTGCAACACCAGGGAAATTGCAGTCGATTGAAGGCCCTTTAGAAACAAGCAGTCTCTTTTCTAAATAAATCTAAATAAATAAAAAAACAAATAAGACCCCTAAAGAGCATCGGTCCAGAAAAGTCTAAATCCACAAAGACGTCGCGCGGTAAAGAAAACTTCTGATTAATCGCACAGTGGAGAACCGCCAATCATCCAAATGGTTTGGATGGTAAAGCAAATATTATCTCCAGATGCGATGATGGAATAAGGTGACTAGAATTAATCTGAACAGCACTCCTCGTGGTAAAGCGATAGAAAACGCGTAGGGATGCAATATGTCTTTGTAGCGCCAGTGAATCGAGCCGGTCCACGGACGGTCCCCAAAGATTCGAACCGCTCTTCACTGGATGCAGTTAAATAGAAGCACAGCACTGGGGTACCCCGCCTCAGAGATGAGAAGAGTATTCCATGTGAGGCTAATCTTGCGCCTTGTAAAGTTGCAAGCGGTGTGCAGACGTAAAATACTGTCCCGCTCTACTAAGAACGTCAGGTTTTTTAAGGCCAATTTGGCCTAGCCTTCCAAGTAATGTACCAACTAAACGTCATTTAATATATCCATGCCAAAGATTTCGATGCTGACTACAGCAGCAAGTCCTAAAATTAAGGAGATACGACCAAAGGGGTTTATTCGAGCGGTAAATAAGCGTATCTTCGTCTTTTGAGGATTATATACCTGGTAGAGCCATGTTGCAGGTATATTATAGTTGTGGCACGAATGTGTCGGCTCAACCGGGGAAGAACCACGCTCTCACAGAATACCATCGTAAAACAGAAGCTTAGTGCTGCTGTGTTTCTTATAGTGAGTGTAAAAAACTGGAGACCCCTTTTACTGGAAACAGGGCATTCCATCTTGCTCCTCAGGGGTGACAACGCGGATAGTCTATGGGCTACTGCATCCACTTTCCATCATGTGGACTGTATGCCCGTTTGTCATCCTTATTCTATAAACAAAAGTTAAACTGAACTAGGTTTAATCATCCCCAATTCGAAACTTTATTTAACAAAAGATAGTTTGTTGCGACATTCGACAACTTGTCCCGAGAAATATTAGCACGGCCAGTGTATAAAGAATGACAAGGACTGTCATTTCTGCATGCTCATAGCAATGAAGATTATTGGTTGGCAACTGATATTGCCGTGTAGTGGCGGTCAAGAATATCCACTATCCCATATCTTCCCGTGGGTGTCGTAAAAGGCGACAAAGACAAGGGACTCTTTATGATGAACTCTTTCTTCCAGAAGCGGCCCCACAGGAAGTGGACCTGGTGAGATTGACTTCATTATGACGACCAGACGACAACTGTTCAGTGATGTCTCCGTGATCGCGAGGGTGAAAACTGGTAGCGATCACCGAATGGTTAGAGGCATACTGAACCTAAACGTTAAGTTGGAGAGGTCTCGTCTAATGAAGTCAACGCTCCGTCCCTCTCGTGCTCTGTTCCAAAGTCCTGAAACCTTTCAGCTCGAGTTACAAAACCGTTTTCAGTGCCTAGAAAACTGCAATGAAGTGGACGATATGAATGACAAGCTCGTGGAAATTGTCCATGCGGTCGGAGCTAAGTTCTGCAAGACCTGCCGCAGAAGAACACAAAAACTCTCCGATCACACTCTTAATCTCATGGCTGTTAGACGGGAGATGAAACTACATTCTTCAACAGATTTGACTGCATACAGGCAACTGAACAGACAGATCTCCAAATGCATGCGGTGGGACTTACGCAACTTCAATACAGCTTGTATTGAAGAAGCGATCGAGCGGAACCAAGGCTCCAAAGTCTTTGACAGAGATCTGTCTGCCAGAAAGAGCCAACTGTGAAGGCTGAGGACCGAGTGTGGCAGCATCGTTTCCGGGGCACCTGAGATTTTGAGTGAGATTGAGAGGTTCTATGGGCAGCTACACACGTCATCGTTGGAGCCACACGTAAGTTTGAGTAACGATCTAAGAGCGAGTCTTATCCGACACTATTCCGAAGATATCCCGGACGTCAGTCTGAGCGAGATTGGAATGGCTCTCCAGCATCTTAAAAACGGCAAGGCCCCAGGCGAGGATGGAATTACAGCGGAGCTTCTGAAAGCCGGTGGAAAACCGGTACTTGAAGTCCTTCAGACTCTCCTTCAGGTTCTTTGATTCCGTCCTCCATGGTGGCATTACACCGGAGGCGTGGAGCAGAAGTGCGGTGGTCTTGTTCTTCAAGAAAGGTGACAACGATCTCTTGAAGAACTACATACCGATTTCCCTTCTGAGCCGCGTCTACGTGCTGTTTTCGAGAGTCATTACGAATCGTCTCGCACGCAGACTTGACGACTTCCAGCCTCCCGAACAAGCCGGTTTCCGAAAGGGCTTTAGCACCATAGACCACATACATACCCTTCGGCAAGTTGTACAGAAGTCCGAGGAGTACAATTTGACACTATGCCTGGCGAATGTGGACTATGAGAAAGCCTTTGATTCCGTTGAAATTTGGGCGGCGCTGCAGTCCCTTCAGCAGTGCCAAGTTGACTGTCGGTTTATCGAAGTGCTGAGGTGTTTGTACAGTAGGGCTACGATGGCTATCCGAGTACAGAACCAGAGTACGAAACCTATCCAATTGCAGAGAGGTGTAAGACAGGGTTACGTTATGTCCCCGAAACTCTTCACCGCTGCATTGGAAGACGTTTTCAAGCTTCTGGACTAGAAAGGATACGGTATTAAAATCGTACGTCGACGTATCGACGTAATTAAGATTTTTAAGGCGTAGATTTACTTCATCGTCATCATCATCATTACAGCCCTTCACAAGTCCACTGCTGAACATAGGCCTCCCCCAATAACTGCCACAAAGTACGCTTATGCTTACATTTACTGAGGTATAATATGTATTACCTACATTTTTAACTTTTCTGTATTTTCAATTTTAAATTTTTAGGTAGGTACGAGTATCTACCTATATTTTCCCGTAAGTCGTAGTCGTAGCAGCCGGCGAAACCAGCACACTGTGTCAAATTATAAACATTTAAACATTATAAACATTAGTAGTATAGTTGTAGCACGAATGGGTCGGCTCGACCGGGGAAGGACCACACTCTCACAGAATACTAGCGTAAAATAATACAAAGACAGCTTGACACTGATATGTTTCGTATGGTGAGTGTAGAAAACCGGAGACTCATTTTACTGGAAAAGAGGCATTCCATCTTAGTCCTCACGACGCATCTGCATTTTAATTCTTTATTGAGGATAAATGTAGATATCTATGGGTCACAGCAACCACTTACCATCATGTGGACTGTGTGCTCGTTTATCACCCTATCCTATAAAAAAAAAAACACCTCATCCCCCAGTTTGCACATAATCAGCTCGGATAATTCTTTCGTGATCTACCCTTTTTAGAAATAAAGAGGATTGCGTGGAGCAGAGCAGCATTTATAATCATCTATCATTATTATAACAACTCAGCCTCACTCTAATTATATTAATTTTATAACTTTTATTTAATCAAAATTGTTCTATAATTTATTGTATTTGTATACATAATAACACATGTTAGTTAAGCTTTTCAAAAAAACCGGCAAAGTGCGAGTCGGACTCGCGCACCGACGGTTTCGAATAAATCTGTAGATATATAACTTTAAAATTATTAAAAATATTTTTACTATATGATGTAACTAAAAATTTATGCTTTTCGCAATTTTTTCCTTTATCTGTGCTATAAAACGTTGCTTCGTACGAAATTTCAGGATTCTGAGTGCACGGAAAGTACCCTGTAGGTTTTGATTCCCTTGCGAATGTCGAAAATTTACGGCATAAACGGCTGTATTTTTTGATTGCGCTGGCTTAGAAGTTTGATTTTTTCACAGCTCTAAGGGACAGTAGGCTTGAGTATTTGTTATGAATTTCAGCTTGATACCTCCACGCCTTTCTGAGAAAAAGGGTCTTGACAGACAGACAGACAACAAAGTGATCCTATAAGGGTTCCGTTTTTTTTCCTTTTGAGGTACAGAACTCTATAAATATCACGTGCTGGTTAAAAAATTGCTATAGTTCCTAATATGCAGGTTATGATTATTAGTTAGGATAGTCGTAATATTATCATACCTAACTAGGTACCTAACTGCTTAATACAGATAATAATTTTTAATATAGATAGTTATTGTTTATGAATCGCAACAAAGTTTTAACTAATCTTTAATAACCAATTTTGTCAATGTGTCTTCATAATAAAGACAATATTATATACAATATCAAAATTTATATAAATTAAAATATTGTATTAAAAGGCTTGTCTTACTTGCTTTCATGCACTTTCTCCTCAGTAGACTTCTGCTGTTGTAATTTCTCGTAGAAGCCTTTCCACATTGATTCTTCATCCATCTTTCTGATATTTTATTAAAGATCACAACTAAAACGCAACTAAATCAATGCAATAAAGCAGTCTGCCTCTTTAACGAAATGCAAATATTAATGATTCACCAAACCGAGTCATATGTTCTGAGAGGCATGACGTAAACAGCACAGGTTATAAGATCTCTGAGATTGTGGGTACACAATTAAACCACTTCACAAAGCGTTTTAATCAAAATTTATTTTTGAGTTCCTTTCAGGTTATATTAAAGAGAATTTTGTTCATGAATTTATAAAATCACAGTCGGTAACAAACACTTTTGCAACGTTGTTTTCGCTAAACTATATCAATATCTTGTAATGTAAACTTCGCGCTGCAAACGTAACGCGGTCAAAACGAATGAATATGACGTAATTCAAGGCAGCGTTCATTCCACCGTACAACAGCTAACCGGCGACTAACCGGCCACCATTAACGCACGCTCTTTTGTATGATTACACGATCATTAAACTACTATAGGTATAGGTACATGCGGTGATGAATAAATCGTCTCTTTGAAGCATACTTCCACCTAATAAAAAAAGGAAACATCATACATTATTTGTGTTTGATGTGATCGAGACTCAATTCCGTTATTTCTATTTGTTTCAAAGAAGTATAACATGACGGCAATTACGATAATACTTATTAAGTTACTTTAAATGTCTTTGTCCATTGACCCATACATTAACCGTAAAATGACAACGGGTAAGTTTATCGAAGTTGTAATTACTAATGCTAATTTAATTCACATTTTCTATTTTACACAAGGTAAATAAAACATATATTACATACACACCAATTAAACGTTAATAAAACATATTAATAAATTATCAAAATTAGGTTCCGATAACTCGCTAACGACTTACCTAGGCGATTTGCCGCGGTGCCATTCTTTCAGGTAATTAATTATGATATTTTTATCATATCATAGGTACTATTCCCTAAATTTCTTGAAAAGTTTCTTTTTTAGTGAAAAGGTCAGGCTGTATCAAAGATCGTGGATAATCGTAGCGAATATAGGCGCGAGTGTCAAAAATTATTATTCTCTTTTAGTATCGTATAGGAACCCACAACTCGGTGCTTTTTTTACGCAAATGCACCGACCAGTGAGAAACTTGTTCATTAAATGTAACAACAAAATATTTCAATATAAATAACATATCTATGTTACACATGTGTATTTATCATATCTTACTTAGGTACAACATATTAAAGTTATTTTATCTTATTTATAATTTTTATATATTGTTATACCCGAACCAGAAGAGAACACTACATTAAATCAAAAATAAAATAATCTCGATGTAACTTATCAAACTGCAATTAATAATGGACTACACATACACACAACCTATATAAATAAAATGATAGAGATTTGCAATTGTGCGCGCGTCACGGAAAAACTACTGGATAGATTTCAATTAGGTTAGTGTTATTTCTTATACACTTGGCCCTTATCTTTTTTTTTATAGGATAAGGGTGACAAACGAGCACACAGTCCACCTGATGGTAAGTGGTTGCTGCGGCCCATAGACATCTACATCTATCCTCTATTACAAATCAAAATGTAGATGCGTTGTCACCCGTGAGGACTAAGATGGAATGCCTCATTTCCAGTAAAAAAGGCCTCCAGCCACCTGCACTTACCAAGCGAAACGCAGAGGTAAATCTCTACTTCACGCTGGTTTTAAAAAATATTGCGATATCTTCATATAATATAAAGTTATTAAATTTTTAAGAAACACCGATTTTTATACGGGGTTTTTGACACGGTCAACTAACTGTACGTCGCTTGTTCTCGCATTACTAACCCAGATAATTTATATATTTTAGCCAATGATATTATATATAAAAAATTTTAGCTACAAACGAAGCAACGAATATCATTGTTTACATAGAAATTTTGTAAGCAAAGTATATTTTTGTTTGCTATCTTTTTGATGTTTTTTCCTTCGCACATACGAAAACTTTGTTAATATATCAAGCAACACAGACGAAGTCCCGTGTATTAGCTAGTTTTATAATATTCTTAAAATATGTAGCCAAAAGTATTCAAAAAATAGCGTACGTGAGGGTAATATAGTCATCCGGTTAATATGGTCACTTTCTTATAATTCAAAGACTACAACCTTATTTGCATAAATGGCTTTGTGATACGATAGCTCATCATCAGTCATTCAAATAATAAACGGGTAAAAGGGCGCCGCTTTTCCGACGCCATTTTGACAGTTGATATTATAGTAAGTACGTGAGGATAATATGGGCACCTTAAGCTTTATCGCCCTATAAAACCAAAATTAAGAGTAGAACAGAGACAAAAACACAAAGTCGTATACTATAACTAATATATTAAGAAAAAAATAGCAAACAAGCTTTGGAAATAATTAGGAACTCTTCGAAATCTACTTAAAAAAACTAACTACACTATGTACACAATACAAAAATCGACTAAAATATTTACAATAATCAACTGTCAAAATGGCGTCGATAAAGGAGCGCCTTTTTGACCCTTTATTATTTGATAGACTGATCAAGAGCTATCGTATCACAGAGCGTTCTATGAAAACGACGCTGTAGTTCTTGAGTTTTAAGAAAGTGACCATATTAACCGGATGTCCATATTACCCTCACGTACTATAGTTAAATTTTTAAGTTGATTTTTCGAAGTGTTGCTAATTATTGCCAAGGCTAGTTAGTTATTTTTTTCTATATTAATTATAGTATACGACATTGTGTATTTGTCTCTGTCCTCCTAGTTTTGGTTTTATAGGGCGGCAAAGCTTAAGGTGACCATATTACCCTCACGTACCTTAGTATAAAAATATAACGATTATCTATATTTATATCTTAATTGTTTCGCTAATTTAACAGTGGTAGAGCCACGCGGCAGCTTTTGCTGTCGCACGGATGGGCCGGCTCGAACCGGGGTAGTACCACGACCTCTCAGAAAACCAGCGTGAAGTAGAGGTTTACCTCTGCGTTTCGCTTGGTGAGTGCAGGTGGCCGGAGGCCCTTTTTACTGGAAATGAGGCATTCCATCTTAGTCCTTACGGGTGACAACGCATCTACATTTTGATTTGTAACAGAGGATAGATGTAGATGTCTATGGGCCGCAGCAACCACTTACCATCAGGTGGACTGTGTGCTCGTTTGTCACACTTATCCTATAAAAAAAAATCTAGTTTTAAACGAAAAAAACGTGGGATTTATATACAATGAGACAAAAAAGCAGTTTCGGTTTATCGAACCATGGACATAGATGGCTTGTAATATGAAGCTGTTAAATGTGAAGAATTATATTAAAGGCCTTTAATCTGATACTTTGCTTAACGTTGTTTCTCAACTTTAACATACCAGTAATCAACGTCTTAATCTCGTACTGGCTACGATGAAGCAAAGCATTGTGAGCCAATATATTTATATTTTTTAGTTATTAGACATTGCATGTCTAATAATTAAAAAATATATTTTGCTAACATCCGGACTCCTACTAATATAAAATATTCGAATTAAAATATGATAAATAAAATAAAATATGACGTTTACAGTTAATTGTAAGTAAATTAGCAAGTAAGTAAATTCATTATTAATAAGTAATGAGAAACTTGCGTGTTAGAATTTAAAGATCGCAATTATGTTCATACTTACAAAAAAGAATAGACGATTCAAATCAAAGGTCGTTATGGAGTCTATGGAGGACATTACAAAAGATGAAAGAAATTATCGTAATTTTAATTATTTTCCTACTTCCATTTTACTTCCCCTAAACGGCCTGCCTAACGTCAGTAGCTACAACTGTACAATGATTTATGTAACACAATTCTGGACACTAGAGCGGCCTCCTGTCCCGATTAGTGTCGGGATTGCATTAAAGGTGAATGAACCGAGATGGCTATGTATTTGTAGTTTCTTGCAATCGATGGACATACAGATGGGGTCCACGCGCGGTGATCTTTCTAAAGAGACTGCAGCTGAGACTAGTTGTCGCCGCTGTTAACATAAAGGCTGATTTTTTTCTCATCCAGAGGTTAAGTATAGCCATTTCATAAAGAAACGCAACCGGCGATATAAGTACTTAAGTTTTTAAAAGTGTATATGAGAATAGCTTTTTTGTGCTTTGGTTTGGTTTTGTACTATTGATATGCAATGTTCCACTTTAATAATCTAACTCTTGTCTAAAGCAATCTGCTCTAGCTACGTTTAATTATTAAGTTTTTCAGTATCTACATTTTTAATTATAGTTCAATAACATTTTATTGCGCTATTACCAAAATTTTGCTATCAGAGAAAAAAGCATTTATAGACCTTACATACTTTATCTACTTTTAAATAAAAAGTGAAAGACGACTTCAAAAACTAAAAAGAAAAACATTTTTTTTTCATTCTTCAATAATTAAAGCCCTGACGTCAAAAACTCTTATTAAAAAAATATTTCCTTGGAGTGAATACTTCTTTAGAATCGTTGTGATTTGAAATTCAATGAAACGAAAAAGCCACACTAATAATTTAAAATTTAAAATTTGTACAGCCGACTTCAATATAAGCGACTTCAATATAAGTTATTTAAGACTAACTCAATAACCATTGGTCTGACCTTGATCAAATTCATATGGGAATTCAAATTCTTTCATATAAAAAAGAATCATCGAAATCGATTCACCCAGTACAAAGTTATGAGGTAACACACATAAAAAAAAACATACAGTCGAATTGAGTACCGTCTCGTTTTTGGAAGTCGGCAGAAAAGAGACAATCATGTACTCCTATAGGATTTAGCCTGCGAGAGAATGAGACAGAATATACTAAGTATACAGTGTTTATTATAAATTTATTTATATTATAATTACTTATACCCTACAATTAACCTATACCCGATACTCTGGAGTCATCTCATTCTCGCGAAGTTTAATTTTCTAAAGGTTCCACTTCTACCGCGTGTGAACTGCACACATGTGCAGTGGTAGAGGTATATTAGTAGTATAATTGT